GCCCCCGGGACACCATGGGTGGGGCGAGGGAGCGGGCGCACTGGGTGTAGAGGGAGGGCCCTGAGGAGCGGGGCGGGGGGGGCAGGCGGGCATTTGTCCGGGGCCTGTTAGGAGGCTGAGGTCAGGCGGGCGGGACCAGCAGCCTTGGTTTGGGGACCAGAGCGACAGAAGGTAGAGGCCGAGGTGGAGATAACCAGCCGGTGACATGGGCACGAGCCGTTCTCCTCGTGTCCCGCCGGCTCCGGGTCCCGGCCGCCCCGCGGGGCCACACAGGGCCGGGCTCCGGGGCCGGGGGGAGGGCTGGGTCCCGAAGGTCCGCTGGCTGCGCCCTCCCGGGGGCCCGGCGTGGGCTGAGGGAAGCCCTTTTTGTTTGTCTTAATGTGAAAGATGTACAGTTTGGAATAACGTTGGAGTTCCAGAGGGATTGTGACACTAGTACAAGACATTCTTGTATTTCCTTCACCTAGGTGTGTTGGTTAATATCTAACTACATTTGCTTTATTTCTCTTTCTCTCCATATATATCTATGTGCGTGTAAACATACACTAATGACTTCTGTTGAACCATGTGAGAGTGATGCTCCTTCACTCCCCTAAGTGTTTTGGCACCACCGTCTAAGAACAGGAACGTTCTTAGACGCAATGATCGGATTTTGTGTGCTTAATAGTGATACTATCAAATAGAGGGTCCACATTTAAATTTCACCATTACCCCAATCATGTGCTGTATGGCATTAGTGTTTCCTGATTCAGGAACCAATCAGGATCATGTATTAGATTCATTTGCTATGTCCTTGGCCACCTTCAACCTGCAAATGCTCCACAACCTTTCTTTGTGACACGGCGTTTTGGGAACACAAATCTTTGCTTTGTGGGGGGCTCCTCAATCTGGGCTTGTCTCGTGTTTCCTTGCATCACTCAGAGGATGCGTTTTTGCCGCGAATACCAGAAAAATGATGCTTCCTTCCTTCCCTTGCATCCCGTCGGGAGGTGCCACAGCCGTGAGGCGCTGTCCCTGAAACGGGCTCCCGGGCATCAGTCAGCACCGTGTGCGTGGAGGGAGCGCCTGCCCCCCAGCTGCGCAGACGCCTCCCCGGGCTGCTGGCTTCATGCAGAGCGAAGTCACAATCGTGCGGTGGTCTCTGGCTCCCCCCTCCTGGCTTCCTGCCCTCCCTCTCTGTCACCCGCTGTGTTTCAGCCACAGTGGCTGCCGGTCCCCACGCTCAGAGTCCTCCCTTCGCTGTGGGGGTAACCCCTGAGCCCCTGCGGGCTCCCCTCAAATGCCCCTTCTTTCTCCGTGATGCCTCCCCCACTGTGTCTCGCCTCCCCCTCTGCCCGCCTCCCCTGCAGCCGGCACCTCCATCTTCCCGGCTGCCGTCCGTTCGCTGACTGACTGCCGGTCTCCCAGGCTCCACTGTCCCTCGTGAGGATGCGGCGTCCTCGAGGCCCAGGCTTCTGTGCCGTGTTCGCTGCGGTGTCTTCAGCATCTGGCACAGCGCCGGCCCAGACAGCCCCTCTGTTAGGGTTCAGGGAAGGAGTGCACGGAGTGAGCGTGCACCTCTGCACCGCGGGTTCCGCCGGGGAAAACTCGCTCTTCCTCTGCGGCCCTGAGGCTCTGAACCCACCTCCTGTTCCTCAGTTTCTCTTTTTTATTCAATTAAATTTACCATTTATTTAAAAGAGATTTTATTTACTTACTTTTTAGAGAGAGGGGAAGGGAGGGGAAAAAGAGAGGGAGAGAAACATCAAGTGGTTGCCACTCGCACGCTACCCCCCCGGGGGCCTCATCCGCAGCCCAAGCTCGTGCCCTGACCGGGCATCAAACGGCAACCTCTTGGCTTGCAGGATGGCACCCAGCCCACTGAGCCACGCTGCTCAGGGCTGTCTATTTGTAATCCTCAGCCGAGGCATGTTTATTGGTTTTAGAGAGAGAGGAAGGGAAAGAGGAGAAACAGCGGCTGATGGCCTCCCGCGTGCACCCGCCGCAGGGGTGCGGCCCAGGGCTGGGTGCGCGCCCGATGGAGGGCAGACCCGCAACGTTTTGGCGAAGGGGGCGACGCGCGAACAGGGGCCCCGTTTTCTCGTTTTCTGTGTTGTTTTTTAAGATTTTATTTATTTATTTTTAGAGAGAGGGAAAGGGCAAGAAAAACAGGGAGAGAAACATGGATGCGTGAGTGAAACGTCGACTGGTTGCGTGTTGTACGAGGCCCCACTAGGAGCCGGACCCGCACCCCAGGCGTGTGCCCTGCCCGGAACCTGAGCTGCCGCCTTTGCCTTGGCAGGACGATGCGCCACCCTGGCCCGGGGGCAGCGCGGTTTCTCGTATTTCAAACGGCGGCAAGAGAGGCGCCTGCCTCGCGGGGACGCGGACTGGACGCGAGAGACCCAGCCCGCAGTGGGCGCAGGACAGTGCGCGCGCCGGCCTCCGGGTGAGGGCCACTCCGCCCCGCGGAGGCCGCTGCCTAATCGCAGCCGAGAAGAGAGGCTGTTCTGTACCTGTCCCTCTATTTCTAATGGAGTAGAAAGTCAGTTAAGTCTTGAGATGAGACGGTGACGCTTTACCGTGTGGCTCTTCTCTGAGTTTTCTCATTGTCCTAACCCTGACCTTAGGGAGACCTCAACCTTTTTAACTTAAAGGAACAGGTATTGGATTATATTACTGTATCACACTGTGAAATCGTCCAGTTGCCTCTACATGAACACCTCCCCGTCTGTTCCCGTCCTTTCCCTGGAGTTTTTCAGAAATGTAACCGTCGCTGTGTGTTTCTCCCCTTGCCGTGCCGCCCCCGCCCCGCCCCGGCAGCCGCCCCGCCGCGTCCGCGTCCGTGGGTCCTGTCCCCTTCCGCGCCGTCCCTGCGGCGCCCGGCTCCCGGCTGTCATCGGCTCTCCACCTGAGTCTGTCTGCATTTTCCTTGTTTGTTCAGTTCGTTCATTAGATTCCAATGACTTTCTTTTTTAAAGGTTTAATTTTATTGATTTTTAGAGACAGGAGAAGGGCGGGAGAAAGGGAGAGAAACACCAATGTGAGATAAACATTGATAGGTTGCCTCTTGCCCGCCCTCAACTGGGGACCCGGCCTGCAACCCAGCCCGACTGAGAACTGAACTGGCAACATTTGCTTTGTGGTCGACGCTCGACCCGCTGTGCCAGGCTGGCCCGGGCTCCCTGGTTGTGTGGTGGGCGGCCGTGCGGACCCTGGGCTGGGTGTGGGGGTTCAGAGGCGGACGGCCCTGTCCATCGCAGCTGATGTCTGTAATGTGAATCGACCTACAATTTGTAACAAAGCATCCAACTTAGCGGGTGCTCCAAACATGCTAGTTGAGTGAATAAATGAATTATTTTCAAGCACCTCAGAGGCAGATTGGGATGATTTTGGGGGTCAGGTGAGTTGGGGAGTGGGACCTTCAAATCACTGCCCACAGGAGTGGGCCTTGGCCCTCAAACCCACTTAGGACCCTAAATTCTGAGGAAACCCCCAGGACACACGGGAGGTTGCGCAGGCCCAGGGCTGCGGACAGGGTTAGGGCTGGGCTGCGACCTCCGGGTTCCGCTGTCAGGCTTCCTGCTGCTCGGGCGGGGGCGGCGGAGCTCTGGGCTCTCGAGGAGGCGCCTCCGGCTGCAGCTGCGGGAGCTGGGGTCAGGCAAGGAGGCCGGGTCGCCGCTCTGCTCTTCCTCAAAGTGCGCCTGGCAAAGCAGCCGGGCTCCGGAGGGCGTCTGCGATGGAAGGCCTCAGGAGGGAACCCAGGTCTGCAGAGATTGCTGTAGGGACAGCTGAGCTGCCGTTTCCTAAATTTGCCTTCTCACTGAAGTGTGCCGTGTACAGAAAAGCACACAGTTACAAACGTGCGCCTCAGTGCGTCGTCACTGGGTGTGCACAGCTCTGCAGAGACCACGCATGTTCTCCCATCTGTTTCCTCCCCACTTCCAAGAACACAGCCACTATTCCAGCCTCTACCATCGCGGGGTAGTTTTGGCTGCATGTGAATGGAATTGCACAGCAGGTAGTCTTGGGTTTGGCCTCTTTCGCTTGACATCTGAGGAGATTGTCAGTGTTATTATTTGTAGACGATCCTCTTCTTTCTCTTTTACGTAGCTGATTATTTCCCTGGCTTTGTAAGATGTCATCGTCTGCGTGGAAGCGTCTTCCCGAAGTCGGCCCTGCAGGTCGCTGTGGGTCAGTCCCAGGTTTTCTGTGGTGACGCTGCTGCCGTGAGCTTTGGTGCGTGCGCCCTTTGTTCATGCACGTGTGCTGGGTGCCTCTCCAGGGAAGGTCAAACGGGTATACGCATGCGCACCTCCAGCAGAGGCTGCCTCCCTGTTTTCCAAAGTGGTTGAACCCAGCACCCCCCACTGCCTCCTGTCCATCCCGCGGCTGCCTGTCCTGAGGGTCTGCAAACGGGAGAGGGAGGCGCAGGAGCCCGAGCCTGTAAGGTGAGGCCCAGCCCCAGGACACCTGTCTGCGGCTTCCCTGGGTTTCTGCATGAAAGTTCTCCATTGGAGTTGTTTCTGAGAGTTCACTGAGGTGCATTCTGGAATTTAATTAATTAGACAATTCAGTGAACAGCTTTGCAAAGCCCTAATGATCTTCCAAAAACTATGCCACGTTTTGTTGGCGAACAAGGATGAAACACAGGGGGATTCTGTTCTTCAGAATCTTCCAGACAGAGGAAAGCGGGCATGTAAAATAACGAGCGTAAGGGGGAGACAGGAAACGCTAAGTCTTGCTCACAGGCATCTGTGTTTGTGAGGAAAGGGAACTGAGAAAATGGAGATTTCCTCCTGGGTGTGGACCTGGGGAAGGGGCCTTGAAGGGTAAATAAGAAGGGACAAGCGAGGACAGTCTCAGCAGTGGACAGGCCGGAACAGAAGCAGGGAACTCGCAGGGTTTGAATGGAACCGTGAAAGGCCGTGCACTCGCTGTCTCGGAAAGAGCGCGCGGCCAGAGGCCAGTGGGCTCAGGGCTGTGCCGCTGGGGACGCGCGGGCACGAAGACCATGGACCATGGGCAGGGCCGGGAGCGTAGAGGCCGCGAAGTGCGCGGTGGGCCCAGGAGGCCCTGGGCCTCCTGGGAGCCTTGCGCTGCGCCAGCTGGAATCGGCCGGCCCTCGGCGCTCAGACCCCGCGGGAGCCCCCCTGCCGTGCCCGCCTCGCGCCTTTTCGCTGCAGCCCTGGGCCGAGGAAAACCTCAACATCCTCCTGCAGGCTGGTGGGGGCTGCCCTGCTGCCTGGCTCCCTCCGCCGGCCCCCCGCCCCCCCGGGGTCAGGCCTCCGCGGCCGCCAGCAGGCGCGGCTCAGGGAGCTGGGTGGCTGCCTCCCCTGCCTCGGTGCAGGTCGCCCGAGGGGCGTTGCCGGTTCGGCCAGCCGGCCTCGGAGCCGGCTGCCCACTTCTTCCCGAGCTGCAGAGTTGCGCCCTCCTGTGCACTCGGCCCAGTTCCTGGCCCAGCCCGGCGCGCAGCTCCCGGAAGAGGGGCCTTGAAACTGCCAAGCAGGGGCTGCGCGCGTCCTGGGCCTCCTGGACCCTCCCTGGGCCTCCCCTCTGACCCCCGCACTCACTGCCTCTCACTGTGCGCACGAACACTGTGTGGATGTTTTCTTCTCCTGCCGGCATCGCTTCTCTCTCCGTGTGTCATCTAGGCCCCTCTGGGACAGGGGCTGCGACCTGTTGGTGGGTCCCGGTCTCCAGCCCCCGGCGCCTGGCTGTGTCCCTGCGGCCACCGCGGCCGGCCCCTCCCAGCCCTGCCTGACTCCAGCCACCCTCCCTCCTGCACCACCGAGCTGCTGAGGCTGCAGGAGAAAACTTAACAGGGAAGAGCAACCTGGGTCCAGCCCCTCTGATCTCAGCTGGGCCCGCGAGGCGGCCCACAGCTTCTCCCATTCTCCTAAGAGGCAGTCCCAAAGCCTCACCATCGCGGCGGGTCCCGCTCCACCACCACAGCCTTGGTGGGCCCCAGCCTCCTGCTCCAAGGAGGGGCCCTGCCAGTCCTGCCACCCACAGCCCCCCACGTCGGGGTTGCCCTGAGGGGCTCTCCAGTGTCCGCCCGCCCGCCTCTGGGCTGCTCCTTTCTGGGGGGAGTCCCTCCCGGCTCGGACGCCGTCGCTCACCCAGGGGCCGCCCAGGGCCTGCTCACACCCCAGACCTTCCTGCGACTGCCCTCGCCGCAGACTCCCGGCTCTTATTCATTTCCTCACACCCGCAGAAGCTGCTGGAAAGCCACCGGGCCTCCTGCCTGCGCCTGCTCCAGGGCATCTCTGGCGCCGCCCCGGGCTCCTCTGCAGGCGGCCTCACAGCTCCCACCAGGCTCACGGCTTCTGCTGCATTTTAGTAAAATGGCCCCATTGCTCCCTGACCGGTGTGGCTCGGTGGGGGGGGCGTGGTCCCACAGACCGGGAGGAGGTCGCCGGTTGACTCCTGCCCAGAGCAAGTGCTGGGTCACGGGCTCTGTCCCAGGTTGGGGGCCTGCGAGAGGCAACCACACGTGGATGTTTCTCTCCCTCTCTTTCTCCCTCCCTCCCCCTCTGTCTAAAAATAAACACGTAAAATCTTTAAAAAAAAAAAAAAGAAAGGCCCCATTTCAGAAGCAGCTGCACAGTAGCTTCTCCAGGAGAGTCATACTAGTTCTCCACTGAAATTCTCCAACTTATTTCCTGGAACATAATAAACACAATTACTTTAAAGTTTATGATTAATACCTATTATCAAGACGCCCCTTGGGTCTGCTTTTGTGGCTTATGTTTTCTTTTGGTTTTTGGATGTATTTCCTTTTGTTAGAGCTGTTTAGTGTTTGTTTTATTTTGGGTATTATATATGAAAAATTTTGGAAATACTTTAATGGTGTGCTTGATGGTTTTTTAAAAAAAATTTTATGTATTTAGTTTATTGATTATGCTATGACAGTTGTCCCAATTTTCCTCCCCTTTAATCCCCTCTGCCCTGCACCCCCCTTCTACCAGCGTTCACCCCCCCTTCGTTCCTGTCCCTGGGTCATGCCTGTAAGTTCGTTGGCTTCTCCATTTCCTATCCTATTCTCAGCTTCCCCCTGTCTGTTTTGTACCTACTATTGATGCTGCTTTTTCCCTGTGCCTTTTCCCTCCATTCTTCCCCCTCCCCTTCCCCTCTGATCTCCATTTCTGCGATCCTGTTCCTGCTCTAGTTGTTTGCTTGGTTTGTTTTTGTTTTGGGTTCAGTTGTTGATAGTTGTAAGTTTGTTGTCGTATTACTGCTACATTTCACCGTCTCCTTTTCTCCTGCTGCTTTTAAGATTCTCTCCTTATCTTTAATCTTGGGTGATGTAATGATGATGTGCCTTGGTGTGTGCTTCCTTAGGTCCCACTTCTTTAGGACTCTCTGAGCTTCCTGGATCTCCTGCAAGTCTATCTCCTTGGCCAGACTGGGGAAGTTCTCCATCATTATTTTTTTCAGATAAGTTTTCAATTTCTTGCTCTTCCTCTTCTCTTTCTGGCACCCCTATGACTTGGATGTTGAAACGTTTCAAGTTGTCCCAGAGGTTCCTAAGCCTCTCCTCATTTTTTTGAGTTCTTGTTTCTTCATGCTGTTCCGACTGAAAGTTTATAGCTTCCTTCTGCTCCACAGCATCGATTTGAGTCCTGGTTTCCATCCTTTCACTGTTGGTCCCCTGTATATTTTACTTTATTTCACTTTGAATAGCCATCACTTTTTCTTCCATTTTGTGACCATACTCAACCACTTCTGTGAGCATCCTGATTACCAGTGTGCATCTGATAGGTTGGCTATCTCTTCATTGCTTAGTTCTGTTTTTGGAGCTTTGACCTGTTCTTTCATTTGGGCGATATTTCTTTGTCTCGGTGACCTGTTATGTTGGAAGGGGCGGAGCCTCAAGGCTTCTCCAGGGCGGGGTGACCCAGGTCGCTGCGTTGTGACGTGGTCTGGGTGAATGTGTCTTCTTTAGCTCCTTGGCTGTTGGATATCCATACAGTTCGATTTTCTGGCAGTTCTGGTTATTTTTTGTTTTTAAATTTGTTGTTGTCCTTCTTTTGGTTGTGTGAGTAGGCAAAGTGTATCTACTGATGTCTCCTTCTTGGCTGGAAGTCTATTTATTTTTAGAGGGCGGGGAACAGAAGGAGAAAGAGAGGGAGAGAAATATCAATTGGCTACCTCTCGCACGCCGCCCGTCAGGAACCCAGCCAGCATCCCAGGCATGTGCCTGACTTGGAAAGGAAGCAGTGATCTTTCAGTTTGCAGGACGAAGCCAAATCCACTGAACCACACCGGTCAGGGCTGGTTGATGTTATCTTTCTCCAGGGATAATTGATGTTTGCCTCCAGAAGGCAGCCACGTAGGCAGTAACAGAGGCTCTAGAGCACTTCGGTCTGAATCAGGGCGGAGATGATTCAAAACTGGGTTTAAGTGTCTGTGAGGGCGGGTATATTTCTTGTTCACGCTTAACTCTCAGCATGGAGCTGTTCACAACCCAGCCCCGAGTCTGGCGGGTGTTAGCTGCACCCCCGCCCCCAGCAGGAGTGGGCCCTGCCCTCTCAGCTCCGTGAGCTGCTCGGAAGCTGCGTTCAGCCACTTGGCCTTCGAGCTGCTTTCTGTGGAATCAGAAGGTACCCCTTGGGAACAGCAGTGAAAAATGCTGGTCTCATCTCTTCAAGTTTCCTTCTTTCAGATCCTGACCCTTAATTTTTCACTTTTTTATTAGCTCCCTGATGCCTTTAACAACATGTTTTTTTATGTTGCCCATTTTTTTCTTAGATCTTCTCAGTGGGAGTGTCGGGTAGCGTGTCTTTAACTGGCCTCCCGTTTTCAGAATTAAAATTCCTTAGGTGATTATTGATCTCAGCCAGTAAGTGTAGGCTGTGGAACAAAAGGAGGACTGGTTCCCAGACCCCGGGTGCACGACGAGGTCTGGACCCCCCGTGGGGACCCGGGGAAGACCGCGTAGTCGGTGACAGCCCGTGTCCTTTCCGTAGGCGCGCTGGTTACGTCTCGCCCACCTGTGCCCTCGCCTGCGCACCGCGTGCTGCATCCTGCTCTCGCGGGCAGCCCGAAGGCCGTGGGGACAAACACAGGGCCGCCTGGCACAGCCTCTGTCTGTCCTGCTCGTAGTCAGATCCGCTCCCGGTGCCGGGGCAGGAATAGGAGCCCCGTGTGTTTCAACCTGAGGGTGGTACGATCAAAGGAACATATTCTGTCAACCACGTAGTAATTACAGGCCCTTTTGGTACTTGCTTGGTGTCTGGCGGGCATGCTGGGATGAGGGTGTGGCTGGGCTGAGGGTGCTCCTGAGGCCCAGGCGCATCTGAAGAGCCCCCTCCATCGTGACAGCTCTGTTTGTATGACCGTCCCACCCCCTCCTCTCTCCTCCACATCCTCCTTGGCCTCCCCAGCCCACCCGGCCTTGCTTATCTGCTGCCTCCACGGGGGATGCCACATGACTTTCCTGCCGGAGGCGGCCACAGGAACACCCCTTCTCGCCTCAGATGGCCCTGCCTGCCCCACGGGGTGCGGCAACAAGCAGCCTGTGCCACATTGTCACACACACTCGGTCCCATCTTGAGCCCCAGAGAGGGAGGGAGGGAGGGCCTGGGATGTGCCCGGGCAGCATGTTCCTCCTCCCCTTCTGGTCTTGCTCCGTGCAGCAGTCCGTGTGGGAGCTTTCTAGTGGCTGGAAAACGGGCAAACGTGCCCGGGCTGTGTGGCGCTGTTGGTTGGAGACTCATCCCCTGCAGCAGAAGGTTGCGAATTCAGTCCCTGGTCAGGACGCATGTGGGAGACAACCAATCGATGTTCCCCCCCCCCACCCCCATCAATAAGCACATCCTCAGGTGAGGATTTAAGGGAAACATGCTGGCCAACACTAGTGAGGAGTGACCGTGGGTGCTGTGCCCAGCCGCCCAGGAGGGTCAGGAGCGCAGGCCCGTGGCCGGGCGCAGGAGGGGGGCACGAGCTTAGCGTGGAGTGTTTGTCCTACTGGGTGTGACTCTGCAGAATGCCTGGCGGTCACCGCTGGCGAGCACTGGTCACCTCAGCGCTGCAGGGAGGAAGTCCCATCAGGAGTGATGTTCATTCTGGACACCTGTAGTTAAGAACTCACCCTGTAAGGCCCCACTGGCTGTGTGGTTCCAGCTCGTGGTTCGCACACTGGCACTTGGGGCGGTTACTTTCAAGTTCTTTCTAAATCTGTCTCCTCACCTGTAAAAGGGGGCAAGAATCTTGTAGGGCCATTGTGAAGTGAAAGGCTTAAAACATGGAAAGAGTTTAAAACCTGCCTGTCCCCGGTAAATACTCAAGAGCTGTTAGCTCTTATTACGGGCCTGTGGGCTCCTTCAGAGCTGGGGGTCCTCAGTACAGGATGTGCACTCTCAGGTTCTCAGGCTCTGGGGTCCTACGGGGCCCCATCCTCTTGGCTCAAGGGAAGTCACGCTGGCCGCGTGCCCCGGCCCGGCGCCAGCCCTGCCCTCCCCCGTCTCTCTTCGCCAGCTTTCTTCGATTCCTCCGAGCGTGTGCTGGGCTCCTCAGAAACAGCTGTCTGGCTGCACGTCCCCCGCCGCATCCAGACAAATGCAATCTCTTTCGAATGGAAGGTACAGCTGCATCCAAAGTTTAATGTTTGTGTGATAGTCTCTTGGAAGAATCGTTCTGATTTGAACAACGGAACTTTGAAATGCAATCGTCTCAACAACCGGCCCTATTTTATCATGAAGAACCTATCCCTTGTCATCGAGGCAGCTGAGCCGCGGGACAGCGGTTTCTACCACTTGGAGGCCACGGATGACGAGGGGTTGGTCAGGACACACCAGTTCAATGTCTCTGTGCTGGGTGAGTGCCCAGGGTGGCTCTCCCTGCCCTCTGGCCCCGCCGGGCCGCTGTGCAGCACCCCCTGACCCGAGTCTCCGCTTGCAGACCCGGTGGGGCCCCTCAGGCTGCTGGGGTGGCTGGAGGCCCTGGACGGAGGGAAGTGCCGGGTGACTCTGTCCTGCCTGGTCTCCGGGGGCAGCAACGTGAGCTACACCTGGTACCGAGGGAGAGAGAGGGTCCTGAGGCTGAGTAACGTGTCCGCACTGGAGCAGACCGAGGTCAGCGGCAGCGGCCCGCACTCCTACACTTGCGAAGTCAGCAACCTGGTCAGCGGCGCCAACCAGACGCTCACGCTCAGCCAGGGCTGCCTGAGCGCGCTCCCGGGTAGGTGCCGCGCTTTGGGCTGGAGCAGGGGGTGAGGTGCAGGGCCGCTGATGAGGCTCAGGCGCTCAAGAGGCTGGGGCGTGACGCCAGGCGGGGGTGGCCTGGAGGCAGGTGGCCCGCCTGCGTCTGGGAAGAAGTTGCGTCCCCATCAAGACTCCTTCCGGCAGGTGGGCCTCTTTCCTTCCTGCGGGAAATGCGCAGTTGCCTGGGGAGCAGCGGCCCGGCCCTGGCCGCTGGCTGGCTTCCTGCCTAGACGGACAGAGCCCTGCTGTCTCCTCTCGAGTCACAGCTTCCCCAACCACGTAGTTCCCTGCAAGGTGACTCACCACACGCCCCCAGTAGCACCCTGGGTTGTGACCGCGCCAGGGGTCACAGTGGCGCCTGGCGGAGCCCTAGGTTTACTGCCTGTGCTGATCCTGATTCCCTGGAGCTGACCATGCACCGCTTTTTATCAGAGAAATAAGACGTCATGGGGCATCAGCACAGGCAGAAACAACCTGCAGTCCCTGTCTTTAAGGAACTTGTAGCCCAGGAGGGAGGTGAAGAAGCAAACACGTGGGAGCCACGTGCAGACAGGGGCGTGTCCTTGGGTCTCTCAGCCACGCCTCCTCCTCCACAGGGGCTGTGACAGGCTCGCAGACCTCCCTGGGTAAAGTGAGAAGGACCGCACTAAACGCCTAACAGAGTTACTGTTAATTACATCAGATGCTAATTGTAAAGAGCCTCATCTGCTGGCACCTGAAACAGCCAACCCCTTCCCCCTCCGTCGTTAACTGAAGAAGTTTGCACAGGAAATGCAGAGAAGGCAGGATCAGCAGGGAGGTGAAAGGAGAGACTTGCTCCAAACGTTTGTTGAGTTAAAAGCAAAGAACAGACAGATGTGACGTTCACTCCGTTTTGCGTTTGTTAGATCAGGTGACGAATCCCCCCGTGCGGGTGACATTGTCTCCGTTCCCCAAGTGAGAGCGCGGAGGCCCGAGAGGGGAAGCGGGTCGCCGGAGGGCACCGGGCCTGAGAGGCGAAAACCTGAGCCAAGCGCCCAGTGTCGCTGCGGGAGGGTTGCCCAGGGAGGCAGGGGGAACCCCTGGACGTGACGTCACACGTGGTGGGGCGCGCGGGCCGGGCGCTCACGCCGCGCGCTCGCACCCCGCAGCCCTCGGCTCCCTGGCCTTCGGGATGATTGTCGCGGGTGCCGCTGTCGCGCTGCTGCTCGGCGCAGGCGTCCTCGCCGGCGTCTGCGTGCACAGAAGGAAGAGGAAGCCGGCAGGTAAGTGGAAGGTCCCCGAGGGCCGCTGCCCCGCCATCCCGGCGGCGGGGCCGGGCCGCGTGTGCCCGCGGTCGGGAGCGGAAGCAGCGGCTGCCCGGCCCGCGCTCCCCGGCCCGGGTCTCCGCGGTGCGCACAGTCCGCTCCCCAACCCGCGGCTTTCCCGGCAGCAGCAGGTCTGGGGGAGGCCGTCGCTGGCTGCTGCCCCCGAGCTCGCCGGGTCTCCGGGGAAGAGCACTAACTTGCTTCCTTCCCGGCCGCTCCCTCCGTCCGGCTCCTGGGGGCGACGTGCGCGGGGGCGGGGGTGGTGGCTTCCGGGCCACTCCCAGCCCTGCTCCCTGCTTTTTCCCCCCCGCGCAGAGCCCAGCCCCGAGGAGTCTCTGACGGTGTACGAAGACGTCCACAGCCTGCGGACCCGCCATCAAGTACGGCGCCCTGCGGCCGGGCTTCTCCCAGCGGGTCCGGCGAACGCTCTCGGGAGGGGCCGTTCCGAGAGCGGGCGCGGAGCACCCAGTGGCGCTCTCGGAGTGGCCCTCAGCCCCCACCTCTGTCCCCCTCGGCGTCCTGGCTCTGACCACGGACGGAAAGAGGAAAACGGGTGCAGAGCTGCACTTGCCCCGATGGGGACCCCAGGGCGGTGCCACCAGCGCCTCCGCTGTGGCGCCCCGGTGCCCTCCTTTCCTGAGGCTCAGAGCAAGTGCAGCCTTCTCCTCTTTCGTGTCTGACCAAAATTCTCGCGTCCCTGCAAGTCCCATTCACTTTTGCGCGTCCCTTCATCATCGCGCTGCGGGCGCGGTGCAGCCTGGCGCGCGGAAGCCTGCGGGCCTAGTCGCCGGCTCCGGGTGGGGGAGGCCTGAGGCCGGCTGAGGCAGCGCAGAGCGCGAGACCGCAGCGCGAGGGGCCGGGCCGCGTCCCTGCAGGCGGGACCCACAACCCCCTGTCACCCCGGGGCGAGGAAGAGGAGGCACCGCGGAGGGGCTGCAGGGCAGGATGTGGGCACAGGCTGAACCTCCCTGAACTGCCCCGTGGGAAGGGGGACAGGAGGACCGTCCCGGCCCCATCCCGGGGGCTGGGCCCGGGCCTGGGGGCCAGGCAGGAAGTGACGTGCGGGGCCTCCTCCCCTGCCCCGGGGCCTTGGTCAGCGTGGGATGTCAGGGTGCCCCTGAAAGCAGACTGCGCCCTCCCCTCAGAACCGACCCTGGTGCCGGGCACAGCGACTGCAACACCTGTAGCCACCCACGCCCAGGTGCCCACCAAAAGCAGCTCCAACAATGAAGAGCACTTTCGATCAGGGCAATGAAGAAGAGCAGAGGGGGGATGCTTACTTAGAGTGCAGACGCCTCCTGGGGACGCAGACCCACCGCTCCGCGTCGCAGTGAGCAAGGCGACCTGGTGGCCTGGCCCCTCCGGGCCTCTCCCTGCTGCCCCCCAGGCCCCTCCAAAGGCCTCGACCTCAGGCTTCATGTGAGTTCACCTCTCTGGAGACACTCCTCACAGGCCTGGGCAGGAGAGAAAAACAGCAGAGTTCTGTGTCTTGCCAGGTGCCTGTGACTCTCCAGCCTCCAGGGGCAGCTGGGGTTTCTCTGCTCCTCCCAGCCCCCGCCCCAGATGAACCCTCCAGAGCCCACCCTGGTGACATAGGCTCAGGGGAGAGAGCCGAGCATGCTTCCCACGCGGCCTGTGGGGCGGGACAGGGGCCCAGGGCCCCTCTCGGCGCCGCGGCTGCGCAGGAGGCTGGCTGGAGGCCAAGGGCAGGCTGACCACCAAGGCTGGTCTGGGTGGTGGTCAGACCACAGCCCCCTCGGAGCTCAGGGCCGTGACCGAGGAGCCAGCCCAGGGCTGTTTCCAAGTTGCCCAAGTGCGGCAGGTGGCAGGAGCCCATGGAGCGGGGTCACACGGTGCTGCCCCTTCCCGCCGAGGCAGTGCCGGTGTCCCGGCAGACTGTGCGTCGTGAGCTGCTCTCCCTCCTGCCTCTCCCCATCGGGGGTGCCCCCCCGCCGCACCCCCCCAGGCCCCCTGGCTCCTCCTCTTCATGCTGTCTCTCCGCTGGACCCAAACGCTTGAGCCCGCGCCGCCTGCTGATGTCCCCACGTGTCCTCCGCTGTTTCTCCCGCAGGAGCAGAGGGAGAAGGAGCGGGACTCCCCTGTGGCAGGGAGCACCATCTACGCCTCGATCCAGCCCCAGGTACGCTGGCTTCTCTCTTCCAGGCCACATCTGTCTAGAGGGCTTTTTTCCCTCACCCCCAAGAAAACCTCACACCCTTGCATGGCAGAGGAAGACCTTGATGCTCCCGGAGCGGAGCTGGTGGGCGAGATCGCAGCCGGGGTCCGGCGTCCCTGCAGCAGAGCAGAGCGGGGAGGTGGGAGCAGGCCCGGGGGTGTGGCGGGGAGTGTGGTTGGGGGGGCGGGGGGGACGGGGAGGAGCAGGCGGCAGGGAACTCAGCCGCTCTCTTCCCTCCCTGCTGCTTCGGGCGCTTGAGGCCCTTGCGCTTTCTCTCCCCACGTGTTCTTTCACCTGTTTTCAGGAGAGAGCAGGTCTTCGTCGCCCTCTCTTACCTCACTATGACTTAGCGACTTAACGGTAACATTCAGGAAGCACGATGTCCACTCTTGTGACGACTCTTCTCCAACAGCCTCGTGAGGCAGTGGGCCTCCCACAGAGGAGGAGACGCTCTGAGGTTGACTGACGTGCCCGAGGCCGCGTGGCTGGGCCGTGGCTAAGTTGAGCGAAATGGCTTCTGAGCCTCCCCTGCCCCGTCTCCTGCAGTCTGGGATGACAGGAAATGACCCATAAACTGGGGGGGCCTCCTCCAGCGTGGACAGCCAGCGCCCGGCCAGCGTGGCCCAGGCTGGCGTCTCTTTAGGGAAACACTGCCCGCTGGTGGCCAGTGACGAAAAAGTTCTGGTAAAAGGTATTATAATTATTAATGTTAAAGAACTTTGACCTGAAGCAGCAGCCTCATCAGCTTGGCGGCCTAGCTGCTGGGCACGGGAAATACTTGGGGAAGTGGGGTCGGCTTCAGAGAAAGAGCAGGAAGAGGAAGGAGCCAGGGAAGGGCAGAGAGGGGGGCGGGGGCGGGGGCGGAGGTGCTGCCCTGGGGATTCCCAGGCAGGGTGCCGCCTCCTCCACCCCCACTTGGGGGCAGTGGGTCCAGCCAAAGAGCCTTAAAGGGAGACGTGTTGACTGAGAGACGTCCAAACCTGTAAGAGTCTCTATGAGTTTATTTGAGCTAAATGGATGGCAAATGCTGGGAAGCAAAATCTCAATGGACTGAGAAAATGCTCCAGAAAATGGCAGTTTTGCACCTTATTCTATACTTTTGGATCAGAGAAGAAGACGAGAGGGATAACATCAAATCCAGTGGTGACAGATTAGGGAGGTGGGAGGAAGCAAAGCAGGGGCTGGGAAACATCAGGGGTTGGAAAGACGTAAAATAATAGACAGGTACTCCTTTTACAGAGGTGGGTACAGGATAGGGTAGGTAGGTGTTAGCAGCTAACGCTTGCCCCGGCGGGTGTGGCTCAGTGGATTGGGTGCCTGCCTGCAAACCAAACGGTCACCGGTTCGGCTCCCAGTCTAGGGCGTCTGCCTGGGCTGCAGGCCAGGCCCCCAGGAGGGGGCGCTCGAGAGGCAACCACACACTGATGCTTCCCTTCCCCTCTGTCTAAAAATAAATACATAAAATCTTTAAAACAATCACTTAAAAAAAAAAAAGAACAATGAGCACGTAACATGATAACAGTGAGGGGCTTTATGGGAAATTATGCGCTGAGGGGTCTGGAGAAAGAAAATTACCCCGACATTCTGATGTTATCATAGAGGCAAAAAGATAACAGGCCCAGTTAAGGTAAAGACTGACCCACTGACCTTTGTCCGGGAAGATGCAGGGCTAGGACGTGACCACGACGCCCCTCTAGTCAGAAAGTTTTAACGTCAGACCATCCGAGGCGGTTACTGTCTGTCTCTGCGTCTGGGAGGTCGCCGTGCAGGCCCCCCTGAGCCTGTCGGGTTTAGCATGTGGCCCGTTTTCCGTCCGCAGATGTGAGAGCGACTGACTCTTCGGTCGCCCTGCTTTGGCCACATTTCATTCCAACGGGAGGAATCTGAGACGTTGAGGGCCAGTGAGATTCCTCCTCTGGAGCATCTTAGACGCTGCAGGGTTACCTGCCCTGCGGAATGTTTTTGTTTCAGGTCCAGAGAAGGAAGGCGTGTTGCCAGAGGGCGGCATTAAGATGTTGAGGAGAGCACGCTGGAGAGTTTAGGTTTAAATCCTGTTTCTAGTGTGAACAACATGACTTGGGCCATTTGCCTTTTTGGGGCCTCATCTGTAGAATGAGGTAAATTGTAGTCATTCTGATGGTACAGGAATGTTCCAGGGCGAGGGGCCAGCGCAGGAGCAGAGCCCCGCTCAGCAAGTAGCGACTGTCGAGCGACAGAGGGAGAGGCGTCCAGGTCGTCTGACTGCCTGACTAGTCCAGGCTTCCTTTCTCAAACATGTCAGCCTCGTGTCTGGGCCGTGGCCGGGGAGCTCAGGTCGGCAGAGCATGGTCCCGATACGCCGGGGTTGTCGGTCGGATTCCTGGTCCGGGCACAGACAAGGACCGACCGCCGCTATTTTCCCTCCTGTCAGCATCCCCCGCCCTTTTCTCTCTCGGAATTCATTAAAACGTATCCTCAGGCGAGGAATAGAAGAAAGAGTCAACAAAGGAGTGCAAAAATAAGTGGAACAACAAATTCATCTTTCTCTCTGAAATCAATATATTAAAAAAAATTGGGAAGCTTATGTTTGGGCAGGGTTGAGGGGGAGGGGCGGGAGAACAAACACCCTCCCTGGAGTTGGGCTGGTTCTGTGCTTCTGAGAGGATTTCATTTCTCTCCTCATCAGCTTCCTGCTTCCACACCACAGAGAGAGGCGTACACACTGTACTCAGTGATACAGGTCACGCGGAAGGTGAGCCTCCCCTCCAGGGGCGCGTGGCGGCGGGTGGCTACTTGGGGCGTCCGTCTTGCGTGTGCAGGGCAGGCGTGTGTGTGTAGAGAGCATGTGGGCACGCCTGGCGGAGCTGTCTTCCGCTGAGTGTTTCCCAGTAGCTGGTGTGGAATGACTGTATTTAAATGTCGACCAGCCAACTAGAAAATGGAGAAAAACAACAGCTCTGAGACCAGAGGAGAGTGGATTAAAGGTGTTTCTCAGAGCCTCTGCGGGAGGCTGAGGACAATCGAACAGAGAGGAAGTGCTTCGTGCACGGGACCAGGGACGGGGTCCTTCCAGGCCAGCTGAGACCCAGGCGAGCAGAGCTGCAGAGGTTTCCAGTGCGTGACCTCTGGCCTGGAGCTGGGGGGCTGCACAGGGTCCGGAGAGACACACTCTGACTTGCAGGGAAGCAGACAGGCGCTAGCCAGTCACGTCTCGCGAGGCCTCCAGGTGGAAGCTGCCCCTCAGGGGCACCCCGCCTCCTGGTCAGGGCTGGGCTCACCGCTGTCCTGTGTGCCTGGAGCCACAAAGCCGAGCACGCTGGTGCCATTGTCATCCTCTCATCGTGGGTGTGAGGGGGCGGGAAGAACGATGCTCCCGCGTCTGGAGCCACGGTGCAGATCCATGACCTTAGCACAGTGACATGCTGGAAGCCTGTCACACTGTGGAGCATTACGTGCACGCATGTCAGGGGTCATGTGTATCAAATGCAGGAGAGAGTTCAGGACGTGTTTTCAGACTTTTGGTTCACCCTTCTTCCAATAACTCATTCAATCAACTTGGATGGGAGAGAATTATATTTAAACTGTAGCCGCAGCACACGGTCACATAGGCAGTCTCAGGCTTTGCTTTTATAGTGCGAGGACCCTTCGGGCTCCTGAAGTTTCCAAACTGCGCCAGGGGCGTGCGCTGTGCAGGGAGCAGGCCCTTGGCTTGAGGCTGCGTGTGTGTGCGTGTGTGTGCGTGTGCGTGTGTGGGCACGCGTGGTCTGAGGGTGGGTGGAGGTGGGACGCTGGACTCCGGACGTGGCTCAGGAATGACCTGTCACCGGCCAGCCCGTGTGCCCCGTCTCTGGGGCCATCGTAGCGCCTGCGGGGGGAGATCCCACTTGTTCCCGGTGGGGACACTGCAGGGACTTTCTGGGCACCGAGCCTCGGCTGGGACCTGTCACACGGGCTCAGAGCGGGACACCTGCTAACCCGAATTTAAGCCCTTTCACCCTCTGAGTTTCAGCCTGGCCCCAAGAAGACGGGACGCAGCCCTTCCTCGCCCTGCACTGTCTACGATGAGGTGAGGCTCCGGGACTCCTTCCGAACGCCCTCAGTGCCCGCCTGTGAAAAAGTCGCCCACACAGTCCAAACATCTCCAGGGTTTTAGGGAAATTCTAACCCCGTGTTTCGGTTGCGGAGATGAAGAAACTGCGGCTCCAGCGGAGCGACGGTCTCACACAATTCACATCGTGTGTTGGAGTCTGGCTCTTGCTGGGGAGCTTGCGTTTCAGATCAGGGCCTTGCCCAGGCTGGCCTCCAGCTGTGAGCCGCGCCCTGGACACGTCCCCTTTCCCAGTGTGTCCGAGGGTTGGGGGGATCGGAGGGAGCAGGGTAAGTGAGTCTGAATGACTTTCCAAAGTCGGCAAGTCATCGGGAATCGTTCCAGGAGACCGGTGACCTCGGCCTGCTGCTGGGGTGGATGGTCTACAAAAGTGCCCCTGAGCCTGGTGGCTGAGCTGATGTCCGTCAGACCTTCCAGGGAAGGGGGGGAGGGTCTCCATGGTTAGGGCAGGTTTCGCATGGCGGCCTGACAGTGCAGCTTTGTGTGAACTGCCTCATTTAACCCCCACAGAATGTGTGAAGTGGGTGTGATTATACTTTCCATTTGTACCCAAAGGAAAAAAGGCATGCGAGCCCCCATTCCTTCCCCGCTGGCCTCAGACTGCACCCCAGCTTCCCTCTGCGGTCCACCGACGATGCCACTGTGGGTCCCAAGGGAAGGGGCAGGCAGGTCCCTGCTGGGCTCCTTGGTTTTTTCACTGCGGCTCCACATGAAAGCCGCGGGACAGCCCAGGGCTGCAGGGAGCGCCGCGCGGTCCGAGGCATCCCCGGGGGTCACGGGGAAGCGTGGCGTGGCTGGGAAACACGAGACGTGGAGCCGGAAGCACTGGATTCAGGCCCCTGCTGCAGTTCCTTTTCTCATTCTGTGAAGTGGGCGTAACAATGCACACCCCATGGGGTTGTGGGGTTGCTGCGGGATCTGTGGGTGGGAGGGTCTGAACTTCCTTCCTCCCGCAGGTCGGAAAGCCAGGACCCAAAGCTCGGAACTCCGTGTTAACCCGCAAGGAGCTGGAGAACTTCTGCGTGTACTCCTAGTGGCTGTGGCCGGCTCCCCACCAGCATCTGCTTTGGGAATCAACGCAACGGATGCTGTCGCAAGAGCTTGAAAGGACAGTTCCTAGTCTGGGAATTCGTCCATGGACTATATTTTGTTTTGAAAATGATTTCTAACAGCCATTAAAAGAGCAAGGTTGTTAAATAATATCTTTCAACTTACAGGTCATACAAGAGTGGGTGGAGAGGTTGGGTAGTTGACAAAGACCACAGGCAAGCCCAGGTACTGGGACTCCGCCAAGCTCTCTGTAAACGTCAGGTGTTTTAGCATCGACGCCCCCTCTCCTGGCTTTCCAGTCTGTTACGTGTGCCCCCTCCTCTCTGATCTGGGATGGACACGTTTCTGGACCCTCCCACCTTCCAAAGAGAGAGAACAGGTAACGGGGGCTCAGAGGATGAGAAACGGCCTCCCCTGAGGGTGGACTAACCAGCCGTAACTGTTGGCAGGTTCTCCAAGGGGCCAGGCCGGGCTTCCCTCAAATGGGGAGGGAAAACTGGCCCCTCCACGTACACACCCTTGCCTCTGGCCAGCTGTTCACAGGCAAAATGGGGAAGGCAGGCGTCGGCGGCCCAGAGCTGGCCCGTCTGAGTGAACAGGTCGCCGGGAGCACCTGGGCCCTGGTTGTTGGCGGTGACCCCGGCGGCTGCCTCTGGGGAAGGAACTGGGTGTTTCTTACCGCACATTTTTTTCTTTTCTTTCTTTCTTTCTTTCTTTTTTTTACTGTCAGATTTTTATAAAACCACATGTGTGTATTACTCCTGGTATATTTTTAAGGGCTGGAGGTGTCACACCTGCCTGCCGACCACACACACTGCTCTGGACTTCGTTCTTTTCACTCACGTATCTTAGTGCTCATGGCGTGTTAGCATCAGCCTTTCCTTTCCTTTCTTTACAAAAGTGGCAGGGTTTGCCTTTGCATATATTATCATGCATCTAGCCAGGTTCCTACCCAATGAACATGGAGGTTATTTCCAGCCTTTTATTATTAAAAATACTACAGTGGCCATGATTTACATCGACCTTGTGTCTGTGAGTGAGAACGTCTGTCACAGTCATTCCAGCAGATGTTTACAGGATAGTGCGAAGGTCCTGTTCTCATTCCACAACCTGAGACCAGGCCTGGCCGCGTCGGGAGGTGCCGCCTCTGCGACAGGCGGGGAAATGGCAGGAATGTGTGAGGAGGTGAGCGGAGCCAGCACACCACAACGGGCAGGGGTTTTGGCTATGGAGAGCTCTTTCCACAGGCTAAGGTTTTCCTGTGACAGAATATCATCTTGGGGTGATTTTTTGGGATTGGTGTTTCCTTATCTTTTGATACTTCAACATTATCTTAGCTCTGTACATGTAAAAAGGTCTAAACCTATAGAGAACTTTTAGAAGCAGTAGAGTAAAACAATATACCTGGAAGCAAGACTTCAACAGGCTGAGACGGCATGTTTCTGAGAATAACAGTTTTCAGCTTGTTTCATGCATTGCAGATGAAGAAGGGAATGCAAGAAATATCACATAAATGAGGGAGAAAGAGGGAGGCGGATTGGATCCCAGGGCAGTTCAGGTCGGGTACTCTCATGAGTGTGGTTGCAGTTCAGAAGGACAGGCCTTAGTCCTGGACTTGGAACTATGTTAGAATCAGTCTTCAGTTTAAATACCTGTAAAATGGAGTTAACAAATGTTCCCACCTCAATTACCCAAAGGGAGCAATAGGTGAGATAAGACATATGAGGGGCATAAAATGGGAATTATATAAAAATGAGCTTATACAAGGGTTCTGGAATTTCATTTTTTTCTTTTATTTATGTTAGAGGGGAAGAGGAGGAGAAAGAGGAGAGAAACATCAGTTGGTTGCTGTGGCCTTCAATGGAGGACACAGCCTGCATCCGAGGTATTTGCCCTGACCAGGAATTGAACCACTGACCCTTTCGTTCGCAGGCCGGGGTTCAACTCATTGAGCGGTACACGCCGGGCTGGAATCTTATTTTGGTGGTGTGAGGGCAGAGCCCTTAAGGCAGGGAAGTGCTCTTTGCTGCCATCTCTTGGGCATTTTTGGAATAACAGTGGACATGACCAGGGAAATCTTTTTTTTTTTCTGTTGCCATCTCCTGAACACCTTGAGAATAGCACCAGAGTGTTTTTCTCTGCTGCCATCTAGTGTGCAACTTGTAAATAACACACGGTTGGAACTCAACAGGAAGAGCTGTTTTCTGATGCCATCTAGTGTGTATGTTAGGAATAAGAGCTGAGTGCAAGCAGTGTTTCTGAACCAGTAAGGTCTATGTATTCCTGCCTATAAATTTATGTTTATTATGTACCATGGGAAATAATGTTTTTCCTACATTTAGAGTAAAAAGATAAAGTTCAAATAATTAAGACATTTTCAAATTACTTCTAGTCTTTCCTACTGGATGGATATTAAACCATGTCTCCCAAATAGGCATTATCTTTTCATTATAATCTTGTGAAATATTCACAAAAGCACTATGTCAAAGCTGTTCTGATTCTGTCAGCTTCTGGCATTGATGGCCTTTTGACTATTAAAAGGCATTTATGATCATTTTTTATCTCCTCTTCTGTCCATTTGAATGAATGACAGTAGCATTTTAACAAAGGTTTACACACTTACGCGAGACTTTTATTTTCAAGGCACAGTCTGGCCATGGGTAACAATGGAGGGGACTCACCTGCACATGATCACTCGTGGCTTAGTTTCTAGAGTCTTCTCATTCCTTCTAAAGAGCATTTAAGGAGGTGATTTGTGTCCCACAGTAGAGGAAGTTTACCTTCTTGTTTTGTTGCCAGTTTTACAATAACAGTTTGACTCCAGCAAATTTTTATAGTCACTTGAATTGCCAATATCATCCCCAGTATCAACATTTAAAAGATAAAAGTAACTAAGTAGATGATCTGTGTGCACTTCATACTCAAGTTTCATTCTTCCCAAATCAGGGAAATAGAGGACAGCCCTGGCTGGGTAGGTCAGTTCATGGGGCTGTCGTCCAGAAACGCCAGGGCAGCAGGTTTGACCCCGTCAGGGCACACGCAGAAGGCAACCAGTGAGTACTCAAAATAAGTGGATCGACAAACCAATGTTTCTTTCTCTCTCTCTCTCCCTTCCTATCTCTCTCTAAAATCAATCAATAAAAAAGTTTAAAAATAAATTAAAAACAAGGATGCCTCTTCAAAATTTGATGTTTCACCTGTAAAACATTTCCTGACTTCCTTGGTCAGAGTTACTGGGACCAAATTAAGAGGATAAGATTGGATACCATCTGTGATTTTCCCAGTAGGTGTGTTGTAACGTAAACTAGTGAAGTTTCAATAAAATAAAAAAAAAAATAAACTAGTGAGATTTAAATAGTTGGAATTTATCTACGTTTTGAAGGTCTTTTTTTATTTTCTTCTTTGACTTAATCACTGCACCAAGAAAACAACCTGATTTATTCTTATGCGGTAAAATGTACTTTAATCTTATAGTGTGTGAGTAAAAGAGAAGCTCATGGAGAAATAGGTATTATAGGTACCAGAAGGGTCACATTTAATTTCAGGGTTCAGTGACCTTCCTGGTTCTGGGAACCAGCAATGCCAGTGCCTCTGTCAAGTCCAGGCAGCAGGAAGCTGCTGCCTTCCCGGCAAGGGGATGGTGTGATGCCCCCCAGGGCACTTGTCCTTTCAAAGCAGGAGGGAGAAAATGAAGAAAAAGAACATGTGTTAGGGTAAGAAAGGAATTACATGGTAATATAGATGAGTAGATAAAAAAGTCTCGTAAAAGTGTCCTCTTTTCCTGGATGGTGCGGCTCAGTAGATTGAGCGCCAGACTGCGAACCAACGAGTCACCAGTTCGATTCCCAGTCAGGGCACAGGCCTGGGTTGCAGGCCAGGTCCCCAGTAGGGGGTGTGTAAGAGGCAACCACACTTCGATGTTTCTTTCCCTCCCGTCCCCTCTGTCTAAAAATAAAATAAATAAAATTTAAAAAAAGGTGTCCTCTTTCGCAATCTTGGTATAATGTACTTTTTATAAAGGCATGAGATCTTAAATAAAACTTGTGAAGACTTTCAAAAAATGTAATCAATATAATATAAAAATGTAGTGCAAAGATGCTTTAATCTGTATTTAAATGTATTTTGTCTACAGTATTATCAGGTACTTGTCATCTTAAAGAGAAGGTCAAACACTGTTTTTTTCTTATAACACACCCAACTTTGAATTTCTTCCTCTGAAATCTATTAACAGCCCCCTAACAGGAGGGACTGCGTGCTGGTGGGCGAGAGGGCCGTCCCACGGCTGGCTGGCTGTGCTTGGGAGAGGAACCGCACCGGAGCCGCACCCCGCTGCTTTCTCTGTGGCAGGGACAGTCCCGGGCGGCTCTGGCCCCCTGCCAGCGCTTCGCCCACCCGCCGCCTCTTCTTCCCGTGTTCGCTCAGTCCGGGCCCTTCTCTCTGAGTCTACAATATGCTCACCTCTCAGTAACGGAAGCAGCACCTGTCTTTTGGCCATCCTTCCAGCCTATTGTCCTATTTCTAGTCCACCACCAGGTTTCCCACTTTAAAAACGACCCCATTCTTAAATTTCCTAAGTCTTCACAACATGCCCTCTTACTAACTCAGTGTAAACTGCCATCTATACGTGTCCCTCCGCTGAAACCGCGGCGCGGCAGAGCCTCCGGAGGCGGCTGGTCCTCCCCGCGCTGTCGCGGCCGTCATGGCGGATCAGCTCTCCTCCCGGACATTCTCCCTCCCCGGACGCCACGTGAACTAAACTTTCCTCATTCGCTCCCTGCCCTGGGCGGCTCTCCTGGTTCCCGGCACCAGCTGCCCAACACCTGTACGCACACGCTGGGCAGCATCGGCCTTAGTTTGAGTCTCTCTCATTAAGAAAGAAAGACACAAAAACCTCTTTTGCTCTGACTGGTTTGGCTCTGTTGGTTGGGCCTCACCCAGCGAAGCCAAGGGTCGCTGGTTTGGCTCCCGGTCAGAGCCCAGGCTGGCCTCGGTCCCCTGTCACGGAGCATGGGACAGGCAACGGGATCGATGTGCTTCACGGACATCGATGTTCCTCTCTGTCTCTTTCTCCCTCACTTCCCCTTTCCCTAAAAAATAAATACAATCTTTAAAAAATAAATAAAACTAAAAATAACCTCTCATGCCCTGGCTGCTCAGTTGGTACAGCATCGCCCCCATG